ACGTGATAATTAAAAGATTCATTAAACGATAACAGCCAGTCCTAGAGTTAAATGTGCAGTGGATGCATTTGTGAAGCACCTTACAACAGAAAACCCTCCAGTTAGGAACAAAGTGGCGTTTTCTCCCCGAGCTGAATGACAGCGATGCATCCAAACCCTCAAAATGTCGTCAGCGTGGCACAGAGCGAGGGACCTTGGCAAGTGTGTCCATTATGCTGCTTTCACACATGTATTTTGGGGGGGGAGAATGTGGGAGGTGTCCTTGTTTTTTAGACTTCTTGGTATAGCAGTCCCCCCCAAACCACCCCACCTCCCTCCCTCCTCCATTATCCTCCCCTTCTCCCCTCTTTTATCTGAGTGTTTGTGGCCCCCTCAGTCTCAGAGCGACTCGGAGCCGAGGAGCGTCACATGGTAAGAGCACCGGGCCTCCGCTCATCAACAGCTAACCTTCTCTTCATCTCCACTGCTTCCTCAAACTGTCTGAGAAAATATTAGACGCAACAAAGAAAGGTCTTTTTTTTGTTTTTTTGTCATGACTTATTGATGAGGGTGCAAAGGGAGGGAAGGGGGGGTTGGTGGTGGTGGGGGGGTTATTTTAATTTGTTTTCATCTCCAGAAACGTGACGCTTACTGTGAAAACAGATGTTTGGTGTCATTTTTGTTCCTGAAGATGTTAAAAAAAGGAAGTGAGGGAGACGAATATGGGAGCGCCATGTCAACGTACAACCGCATGAAGTGTAGCCATCACAAAGTCTCGATTATGAAGAAATGCTTTTATAATTTTCCTCCAGGTTTTTTCAAATCCAAACAATACCATACAATCGTTGCTCCGTTCGAATGCTGCGCATCCTGAAACTCTTTGGTGTTGATCCACAGGAACGACTGTGGGATTTTGGATCATCAAGAATGATTGTTTTTCTACTTCTGAGGCTTTAAGGGAGGATTTTTGGCGGCAGCTTCTCTTTGAATAACCAAACAGCAGAAAGTAGAAGCTGGGAGACGGGTTAGGATCCCAGTGTTTACTCATTTTATTTGTTTGTGCACTGAAACGGAGTCAAACTGTCCATCTGGTAAAATCGGGCTCTGCGTCAGATTTTCTTGACGTGTTTCTCGAGTTATCTGTTGTACGTGGACCTCGCCGTCAGTAATCACACTAATTTGTACCTCGCTGGTAGAATTCGGCGACCTTTGTGTTTTGACTGTATGTGACGAGCGATGTGACTGAGCATGTGTGAGAGTGCACGCTCACACACATCACTTGTAATTCACGCATCGGCTCGCTGGAGATCACAGCGGCCGTGAGGCCCGGGAGCCTGATGCTCCGCTGATTTAATTTTGCATTTCCAACACATGAACGTTATTCATGGCTCTCATTCTGGTCATATAAAAGCATCATTACCACACAGTGCTACGGCCTGTTTTATTGCACTGACCTGATGTACGCGAGTAATTCCTCTAATAATCTAGATTGTGTTTACATAAACATCAAGCTTGTAGCAGCTAAACTGAAAACAGAGTCTATTTAAAAACTTTGAAGCTTAATTTTCACAATAAAATGCAAGAAAAGATGCGTCAAAGAAAGCAAACAACCCATTCAGTTTGAATAAATGATTGTTTCTGGAGGATGAGTAGATGTGGAAGTACTGGTGGGTCCTGAAAGCCTCCCCAGTGCTCGCTGACAGCACCACGTCCGGGCTGGACTCCTCTCGGTGGAGTGTTTCTGACGCTTGGCTGATTTTCAATAAGCCAACGACAGACTCAACCCCCCGCTGAGTGCCCATTGTCCATTTGTTAACACTTAACACTCATGTGTCCGGATGCTCTTTGGCACTTCTTGGTGCTTTGGGTTCTGATGAGAAACTCTCTTAAACTGTTTCACATGTTCTGGAGTAGAAACCGCCACTCGTAGTTCTGTATATGCTGTGATGCTAACTTCCTG